TTGAGGACCTCTTGAGAAAAGCATTGCAAAGGAAGGGTTTGTCAAGTTTGATTCTCTATAATTAAAAAACATAAACCCTGCAGAAAAGGAAAAAACAAAGGTGAGGAGGCATCATTATATATAAACATTATTCAAGCATTTTAGAAATCTCATGCAAAAAAAATTGCAGTGGCTTAGCTCGGCTATGCCAGGATATACGTAGCGTGAGCTTAGGTTCAGCTGGTTATTCTTAGCTTTCCTGGTTGTCTAGGATTAGCTTGATTATCATGCTTACTGCTGCTTCAATGACACACACACGGTATACGCATTATATGAGTCAGTCAATCGGCGAGCCTTGACGTCATCGATGGCGTCTTGTTGCTACTGCTGAAATGGTCGGGCACGTCGCTCAGCCTCCTGGCGACGCCGCTTTGCTAGACGTTCCTCCCTTTGCTCTGGTGTCTCTGCAGCGCGTTTAGCCTTCTTCTGTTCGTTCTTCCTACGCTCAACCGCTAATTGCTGGGCAACTACTTTGGGATCCGACGAGCTAAGCTTCTGCGCTCTTCTGCGCCGCTGAGCAGCAATTTCGCTCTCCTTCTCCATGCCTATACCTCACTGGCAAACGCCCGCTATATGTATGCCCCGACTGATACCTCTGCGAATGCGCACAAAATGAGAGGCGCTATCTAGCGGATCCAGTGCAGCGTCAGACTTGGCTACTGCGCAACGGAGGCGCACAGCTGGGCACGCGGCGCGTCACTCCTCTGGAATGCGCAGACCGGCGAGGCGCACGCGGCGGCAGCGGCTCCGGCGCACCAGCTGTGCGCCGTGTGACGTCACTGCTTCTCGCACATGCGCAGCACGACTCTCCAGGAGCTACACGAAACTGCTCAACCTCGGCCAGTGTAGCTCACGCTACAAAACATTTTTATTTACTACTAGTTACCAAGATCGAGGGTAGGCTAGTCCAATCTGGTGTGCATAATGGAACGGGTGAGCATTGAAATGTGTTGGTTTTGCAAAAAATGGGTTCCACTTTTTAGGGGTTATCGAGGAGAGGAAATATAGTGGGCCGGAGAAGTGAAGGTTCAGGGAGACCACGGGTTATAGTACAGCCTGTGCATGAAGGAGAGCTGGTCTATTCTTCTTCGTGTGTCGAGAGTTTTTGTAGTTACTCGACCTAGGGGCATTCACACACATAGCATGTTTCTCAGCTGGCACGCCTAAATTTACACAGCTGTGCGTTACGTCGACCTTGTTTCATCCGTGCTTTGTATCTCGCGTTCCGAGCTAATCCTTAAATTATTTACCGGGCCGCCGTTTGAAGCATGGATAAAAGTCAATTTACATAGTGGTGTTTAAAGGGGAGATGCAGCGATTTTTTTACTTTGCGCAAATAGCACTTTGAACAAATGCCTGCCTTTAATGACGTCTGAAACATACGTTGTTGCGAAGTTGCAGAAAAAACTAAGAGAAACGAGCAGCGTTCACCCCCTCAACTTGCAGCCAGAACAAGCGGCCACGCGATCTGGAGCCGATTATATGCTGCCATTGCTGATCATAGCTACTCGCTGGGGTTGGCAAGGCACAGGACACACACCGAGTTCCAGACATGGTTATGTTTCGGCTATTGTCGTTATTGCAACGGCCACTACCCGAATGTCGAGCCAGCACCCGAGCCACTACCCGAATGCCTGCCGAGCCATTGATCATCCCGGGTCCAAATCAAGTGCTCACGCAATGCTTGGGTTCAATCTACGAGCTGCATTCAAGTATCGTCATTGGGGGATACTGCAATTTCCAGCTATATGTCATCAAGTTTTGTGAAGGAGACATTGAAAGAATGCACTCGTTTTTGTCCTTGAAATTACACCGCAACAGAGGAGTTTCTTGGTCAGTGGCATTGCGTGCGAGTATACTTGGGTCCCACTAGTGCCAGTAAGCTTGTGTAAAGTGAAAAAAACATTCCAAACGAATATCGTTGCATGGTTCCTTTAACTACGTTCTGAGAACTTAGCTCATGTCAAGTTGAGACCACGGGTCACCGGGCATCCTTGCTCAGTACGAAGCTTGGCAGTTAAATCATTGAGTGGCCTTCAACGCGACATACAAACCGTGCATGCCTTGGCAACTCGCAGCCATAACTTGTGGTACCAGGGTCAAGCCAACTCTGTGAATCGGTCTTTACTATCAGTCGTATCTCGACTTAACTCTCCACAACTTGCTACATTGTCTCAGGTCTGCACTTGCGGGCACACGCGTCACTTTTCTATAAATATTCCTCAATTTGTTGGGTCGAACGGGCCAAACAGATCAACGAGTGTCAACGCATTAATGTTTACTCATAGTGAACTCGATTATTCTTGGATAATCTCCATTAAATTTGCTCATCATTGCACGAGCCTTTTAGAAAACATGTAAGACACCCGGAAACCGGAAACTGATATGGCAGCAGGAAGCTGCTATGTTGTTTTTTGTTGTTTACCTTAAAAATGGGTGTACAGTGTAGACCACTTACAACGTAACCGCTTATAGTGCAGGACCGGGTATAACACGGCTTTTTTAAACCACCGGTTCGCCTCCCATAGAACTCCATGTAATTACATACCGCTTAAAATGCAGGCGCGCGCAGGGAAATACCGGTTATAGTGCGGTTTCTGGAACAGCCCGCCGACCACGCCGACCGGCGCAGCGAGCACGCTTCCCTGTGCGACACTAGGTAACGGCGCAAGCCGCAAGCGGCACTCACGGGGCAAGGAGGTTGCTCAAAGAAGCGAAGAGGGAGGCTTCAGTTGCCATAGCGACAGAGGGACGCACACATGTGTCATTCACGTGCGTGCGTCTTTCCGTTGAGTTGGAAACAACCGCAATGACAGACCAATCGCAGGTCGAAGAGAAGTGTTCGTGCGCGTTGCATGCCGGTCACGGGCCAGCTTCTTCTATAGGCAAACATGGCGTCGGTTGTGATCGTCGGCGTAGACGGCGTCGTGGAAGCTCATCGTTCCGCGTAAAAGCGCTATCCTTGGCTGTGAATTTTCGTCGTGTGTCACTATGATAACCCAGCCCGTACTAGGAGGGAAGATCCACCTACTCGTGCGGCGATGTCATGGCGGCACTCTCAAGACGGCAGAAACGCCCGTGTCGTCGTGTTTGTTTACTTCGACTACAGTGGTGCTTTCTAAGCATTTGTGTTTTCGAACATCGCCCGGACTTTTTATTTGGATCATTTCATGCCTGTGCTCAAGTTGTAGGTATTACTGGCGAGTGCCGTATAAAGGATGCGAATTTTCCCGCGTTTTCATCATCGGAGAAAAGTGATTAGGGTTAGCAATCCTGAACGCTCGCAATGTCCGTCCGCAACCCGCGACGCCGTAAAAGGCTGCGCCAGGCGAAAGTCGCTCATTTCTTTCCAAATGTGTGACACACTCGAGAGAGAAGTGTACTAGTGTGGTGAAATAAAGACTTTCCTTAAACTAAGCTTTATTTTTCATCTAACATAAAATAAATTATTTTACAAAGGTAAGTTGTCTCATGGCATGTATTTTGGCCTGAAAAATTGATGTTTTGGTTATAACGCGGTACCGCTTATAGTGCGCATTTTCGCGACTCCCGTGACATGCGTTGTATGCGGTCTACACTGTATACACCAGACACAATATTTCTGACTACCTGGGCTACTGTGCATAGCCATAGCCACAGGGTGTCTTTTAAGCGGGAAAACCAGGAATTCTCAGGGATTTTTAATAGTCTGGAAAATCTCGGGGAAAACTCAGGGAATTTGTGCTTCTATCAGGGAATTTTTTTTTATTTATTTATTTATTAATTTTTATTTTTAGAAGTGTTACAGATAGACTCTCACAGTCCAAAATTCTTCAGATATCAATGAAATGGGCCAAACGTACAGTCAAGCCCGGTTATATCGCACCCGTGTATTTCGAAATATTGTTTAAGTATATGAAACAATCCAAACATCCCCTAGAAAATCACATTGTTTTTTTGTATCGAACGTCCATAACTCCCATGGCGGGGATACGTGGGGATACGCAGAGAAAAAGCAATTGTATAAAAAAAACATAAAAAACAGTAAAAACCAAAAAGGTGGAAGATGGCAAACGAAAGGGGAAGGGCACCCGCACGCTTAGGGAGGGCAGAGAGTGCCCGCTGTTGAAACGGTCGCGTGCGGTCTTTTCCCCGAACACTGCTGCAACCCCAAATAAAATGAGCAAAAAAAAAAAAAAAGGATTTTGTTAAGTGGTGTGTGTTGACAACAAAAATTGAGCAATCGCGCTTTGAACGCCTTATCTTTGTTCACCTTTTTCTTTCCTCGTTATCGCTTCCGTTTTTCTTTTAGAGAGCTCTTGGGTGCCTGTTTCCGGCTTGAGCGGCTTTGCCGTCGGCCTAACCTTGAAGTCACATGACCCCCCCCCCGAGGTCACATGACTCCCCCTCCTCCCCGAGGTCACATGACCTCACGGGGGAGTTGAGGAGGGAGGGAGGGAGGGAGAGAGAGAGAGAGAGAGAGAGAGAGAAAGAAAGAAAGAAAGAAAGAAAGAAAGAAAGAAAGAAAGAAAGGGAGGGGGCGGGTCACGTAAACTTCAGTTTACTTTTTTTATATTTTATTTGCTATGAATTTTACTAACCACTCCGTTCCGTTTTCTTTTTGAATCTAATAAAAGTTACTCGTTACCATTAAAACTGTATTATGTCGTTTATTTTATTTTATAACATTCTCTTTAGAGAGTGACAGCATCTGGCGACTTGGTGTCAGCCCATCTTGAGCTAAAACGAAGTTCTGTGTCACTCAGGGAATTTCACAAAAGTACTCAGGGAAAACCTGGAAAACTCGGGGAATTTGAAAATGTCAACTTGGTAGACACCCTGTAGCCATCACCAACCCAATGGCCATTGCCCAACAGTCATAACAAAAGTATTGCAGTAAGCCAACAGCCATAGCCACAGCCATAACCATTACCCAACAGCCATAGCCATAGCCATCCCAACACCGAGACCCCTCATTGCAGGTGATAGCAGATGCCGTGGCCGCCGACCGCGAGACATACACAGAAGCTTTCCTGGGACGCCCCAACCGAGAATACTGCACCTGGATCCTCAACGAGGACCACTGGGGTGGGGCCATCGAGCTGGCCGTGCTCAGCCGCCACTACGACCTCGAGATGGTCGCCGTGGACGCGCAGAGCGCCCGCCTTCACCGCTTTGGCGAAGACCGAGGCTATGACCAGCGCATCTTGCTCCTCTACGACGGCATCCACTACGACCCTTTGGTCCTCGAGCCCCTGGAGCCCGGAAGGCCGCCGCAGACGCTCTTCTCGGCTCACGACGACACGGTCTTGGCCCTGGCTCTTGAGCTGGCCAGGGAAGCCAAGGCCAGCCGTCAGTACACAGATGTGCGCAACTTCACACTGCGATGCCTCGCATGCGACATGGGGCTCGTCGGGCAGGACCAGGCGAGGAAGCACGCTGCCGAGACGGGCCACCTGGGCTTCGGCGAAGTCTGAGTGCATCACTCGCGCTGTTTCCACCTCATCGTTGGCTCATGGCACCTTGCCGGACAATCTCGTAAGGGCTTCTGTCCTGGCTTCTCGCTGTCTGCTTTCCCGATCCTCTTTCTTTTCGGTCGTGTAGCGTGGGAAGTGGACATGACTGTTGGCAGACGACTTCGGAAGGTGATTTTGGCGGATGATTTCTCAGCCATCTGGGAAGTGAGCCAGCGACCCTGTGCGCATAGCCCGAATCTCTCGTCATTTGCGGTTTAGGACGAAATACCCACGGACTACACTGGCGTAAGGACAGCGTTTTGGCTACAGAGGATGGATTACTCACTTCTGTGCGGAGCGGCTGCTAGTGTTCCTTAGTATTTGCAGATTTTTTTCTGAGCTAGCGGCAACATAATTTTTTTGTTGTGTATAAAGATCTATAGTCAGTGAGAGGTTAAGAGTTCAGGGGGACTCCTCCCATCACTTTTCACTTGAGCAGACCAAACGCTGGAGAGGAATTTGCCTCTTTTCCAGCATTCGTTCTGCTAAAGTATGTGGAAAGTGGCGGCAGGAGTTCCCTTTAATTCTTAACCTGTGACCGAATATAATTAGTTTAAAAAATATACAAGACTGCTCGTATTGCTTTGTGTCCAAAGGCCCTTTGTATGAGGCATCAAAAACACTCTAACAATATATTTGGTAAAATAAAATAATGTTGAAACATGTTGTGGGGCGGAATCAACAGTTGCAGAAAGCACCCGAAATAGCAAAGTGAATTATACTAATAATAAGAAACTATGCATACAGAATGATATTGCATATTGTCTTTCTTTCTAAATGTGTCTAAATTAATTAATGAAAGAACTTTATTGAAATGAGCATTGCATGATGGCCTAATAGACTACTTCCATAAATCTCTGCATGCAACACTGGGCGCGTTGCACTCTGGGAATTAGTTGGCGAGGAAGAAGAGTGGCATGGCTTTGTTTTCGATCAGTGCGTCGACAAGAAATCATACACAGAGCGTGAACTATTAACAGCCGTTATCTGATGTTTCCTGGTCCCGAGCGCTTCGTTTTTGGTCTCTAAACTAACCTAAGTGGTCAGGCCTCGAAGCTTTAGCACAAGCCCGAACCATAAGTAATGTTTGTCTTGACACATGCCTGTTGTAATTTTGTACTTCAGCCTTTCTGTTCGTGTTTTAAGGTATGTGGGCAATCCAGTGCTGGGAATCTCGATGCTGCAAAGCTGCTTGTGTATGAGTCAACACGCTGTAACAACCATTAAGTATGCATACACCAAGCTTCACACCTTTACATTAGTGTTGCTGGTCAGGAAGTTTTTACTTGTTTTGTGCATTCATTGACGAAATATACCTTTTTACAATTACTGCTTTTCTTAATATGCACGAGGTAAAATTCAGACGCCATTGAAACACTAAAATTGAACACACATCTTATCTCTTATCAGTACTGACTGGAGCACTGCACGAAGTCCCCCACCCGCTTGCATTCTACAAATTCATTATCACGTATGCCCATGAAGTTATCCCGCTCATATAAGGCACATTCACACATACAAACCGTTTTTAAGAAAGCAGCAGTCAAACACATGCGTGAAGAATTCGCACCATTCGTTGGATAAAATGTATATCGGCGTGAACCCCTGTGCAGTAGTGAGATAGAATTAAGTATGTTTCCTTAAAGGGATACTTCAACGAAATTTGAAATATACTTGTCGTGTTCACAAATAGGCTGAAAATGATCAACAATATCCGTAAATGACAATCGCACGTTTGTATTTTGAGCCTAACGGCTGTATTTTTCGTTAGAAACGGCCCACTCTGGCAAACGCTCGGAGAGCAGCCAGCGGAGAGCACGTCACATCCACCGCAATCGTGACGTAGTTTGTCTCGGGACCTTGTGTCCGGACACAGCGGACACTGCGAGCTATCCCAGCCAATCCCGCTCTGTAGACAAAGCCTGCGATACGCTTTATGCGCGTCGCTGTGCCCCCTCTCCAAGGTCACGTGACATTTACACGGCCTTGGATAGGCCCTGTTGGCTCATAGCATCTGCTGAAAGCAGCCGAAGCACACCAGCTATCGGCCACCGCAAATAACCCCAAATCTGCCCTTGTACGAATTTTGAGTGACGGGTTAATCTATAATCTGGTAGAGGGACAATAGTAACTTCTGGGACACACAAAAGAGTGTCTTGGCAAGAGGGGAGTTCCTCTTTCAGCTCTTCTCTTGTCGTGGCCAGAGGCGAGACAGTTATCGTCACTATCTGTCAAGGTTCCTAGACGGGCATTGCAAACGAGGCGTTAGCGACATCCACCAGGTGCTCTTTGCTAATCGTTTAATTCGTTTTAAAATTCCTTTTCGTGTCTTTTTCGACAAGAGATTGGTGTGTCTGATGTGATAATGCTCCCTTGAACACAAATAGACCAAGAAATAAGCGTTAAAATTTTGTTGTAGTGTCCCTTTAAAAGCTTATGCGCTAACTTGGGACTTCTGTGAAGGTGGAGCTTGTTTTTCGCACAATGAAGTAACAAGAAGTTGACATTTGGCAAACAAAATATGTGTAGGGCTCGAAGTGCCCAAAATTCAGTTATTGTTCACCGGTACTAGTCAGTATTGAAATTGAGCTTAAAGATACAATCGCACGGTGCAGTGACTTAGCTACCAGGTCTTACTGCATTTGCGTACACATGCACAATATCTGGCATGTCGGGAACGAAGAAAAGTGCCCCGGTCTTCCTTCTTCATCTCTTTCGAATGACAGTATTGTAAATTCTTGGGAAGTCGGAATCGAAAATGCAAGAAGTGCATTTGGTCACGGTGTGATAGTACGAACTGAGGCTACACAATCGAAACCGAAACTGAGTGGCCAACTAGTTCCCAAAGTGCACTGCGTGACATTTCGCCGCGATGGGGCGCTTCAAATTTTGGAAGTAGATTTGTGGGGAGGGGATTATTGATGATTTCTCACAAGTCCAAAATGATTTTTCAAGGAAATTGACAAGGAAGAGCTAGCAGGAATGTTCAGATACATTTCGATAAAAACAACACAAAAGATAGGAATGGATATGTGATGCCTTTTTTCATTGAAATCACACTTCTTTTGAATCTACCGCATGATATTGCACCAGACTGCATATCCACTATCACCTCTGAGGGCAGGCGACTTGATTGTTGTCTACTACGTATTTCCCGGAATTATGCCCGAGCCAGCATTGCTTTGCAATATCTAACCATTTTTTTTTTTATGGAGTAGTGGTTTTCAATCACTGATGTTTCTGAACCCCTTGAGGATCGGCGGAGATGACGGAGGACCCCGTTTGTGGTGAATGGAAGGGTAAGGTATAGATTAATCATGATAATGGTTTAATAAATGAATATAACTAAGGGCTAGTGCTAATTAGACTTCTCTCATTGACAAACACATGAGAAAACGAACCCCGAAATCAAAACATCAATTTAAAAAAAGACAAATTTTACTGCCCGATTTATATGATGAGAGAGGGCTTCGTAGACGCTTAGGTTGCCTTCGCGGGCCCTAAAGGGTCCGGGGACCCTCATTTGAGTACCGCTGCAAGACGAATTGCCGATGAGACTAATACCACAACATGGTATTCCAATTAAAACTACAAAACTGCCTCGGGTGTTCTTTCTACAACCGAAAATCTTTCATACATTTATCAATAATGAAAAAAAAGTTCTTGCTCCAATTTTTCCATCTATGCCGACAATCGGATGCGTTAGTGCGGCCTTTTGCTGCTCAGCAACAGGCTATTAGACACCATCGATGAGCGTCAACGGATTGTTTTTTTTTTTGCTTCCTTGAAGAGCTGATTCGCTTGGCGCGCTAGCGTAAGTATTCCAGCCTCTGTACATGAACTTCTATTGATTGGTAGCTTGCAAGTGATTTCAAGTTATGTAACCTGTTTTGTCATGGCAAGAAATCCAACTGAGCGGCCACTGGCACATTTCAGCTTCAACTTGGATAGTCCTGACCTTTCTTTGGCCTCCCCTCCCCGCAAGACCATGAATGTGCACCCTACATGGGCAACATCTCGTAGGAAGCGATTCCGTAGTGCTGGGGCACGGTTTAACAGCAGTGCTGTGTAGACATTCAGCTGGGACTCGTTCAATTTGAGGACAAGTCCCAGCCAAAGTGATGCTGACCAGCTGCATGGCCGGTGGCATGTTGCGATTGCCGCGAATGCTCTACCACCAGCGCGAACTTTCTGCCTTTGGAAATAAGCAGCGCATTTCTGCTGCATTGTAAAGGGCTGTTCAAACGGGACACACAACAAAAATTGTGCTCTTTTGGAAAGCTTGAAAGTTCCGGCGCTCGTACGTTTTCAGTGAGGACATCAACCACACGTAAAGCACGACTTTCTTCCTCGCTGTCGTCGTTTCCCTTGTCTTCGGGAGATTAGGGACCGCCAGCTGAGCGTGTGAGTGGCTGTCTGCACTCGTGTGATGAGCGCACACCAAGCCCCTGCCAAGGATGCAAGCGGAAAGTAGCTTTCCTTCCGGTAATAAGAAAAAAAAACATATTACAACGAAAAGGAACCGAAGGGAAGCCTCCGCTTCCGGTGCTGTGTCCCGTTTGGACAGCCCTTTCAGGGGCGGAATTAGAGGGGGGGTGGGGGGGGGGGTTGGATGTCCTGACCCCCCTCTTGATTTCTGCACGGGTAAAATTTAGGGCGTAAAATGAAGGAGGGGGGTTTCTAAACATATAGTCTCCTGACCAACACCTGACCCCACTCAGGAAATTCTTGCATCCGCCCCTGAGCCCTTTAGTCCGTCACCGAACGTTGTTGTCGTAGAAAGCCCAGCGCTACAACCTTGGTATCTATCAAGTTTGACCATGGATGAGTAGCCATGCATCTTCCATCCCCGTTTCCACTTTATTTCATAATGTAGTTGATACACGCGGTTATGGGGGTGTGAGGGACGGTGTTGCTAATTGACGGTTTGTTCATTTTGAGTTAGCTCGCTCATCGTGCATCCATTGTACATAAGTGCTGTCGGAGCTGTCTCGGGCTGTGCTTTGCGTGTAGCAGACCGCCAGCTAAATCGAGAATTCGCCGTCTGCAGTCTCCACGCGGGTTCCCCCGAGAGTCTGGGTTGTGACAGACTTGTAGGACATCTTTAAATAAAACAGCATTGATTCCATGCTTTTTTTGTACGCTTTCCTGTTTCATAAACGCTGGGTATTTTAAAACCGCACGCCATGGAAGGGGAAATAGGGAGAAAGCGCGATGACGAAGCAGCCAGGCGCTCGCCATCATTGCTGGAGGTCCGGGGAGGGGGGGGGGGGGGGGGGGGGGGGGGGGACAAGCATGTGGGCGCATCTGGCTGATGAGCAAACACGATGTGCGCAAGGAGCAGACGAACTTGCACGCCGTATGGTCTTCTCTTTGATGCACCAACAACAAAAGAATTAAAAGAATACTTAAAAATACAAAAAGACTTAAGGGGGGACGCGGGTCCTAAAAATGCAAAAAATCGCGAAAAAGTTCATTTTTCAGAAATCCTGTATTTGGGTGCCTTACATATCCAAGCACCTCTCTTCAAAATATTATAGCGTAATTCAAACTCAAAGTATAAAAAAAACGATAATTAGGTCGCGCGGAACGCGCTAAAAATCTTCCCGAAAGAGGAAACTGATGTCAAAACGCGCGCCCTCCGCGCGCCGCCGGTGCGCGCCCGTTCGCGGCCATTTTGGTCTCGTTCGAAAGCTTGCTTCTTTATCTACATTTTTGGCGCCATTAAAAATGGCGTCCGCCCGGGGAA